AATGTATTTTTGGAGAACATTTGTTTATTGGTCAATTGTATAATCCATTGCTTATGTCATAATTATGTCAAACCAAACTAATGGTCCCGGACCTTAACTAAAAGTGTGTTATTAGATATTAATGTAGTAACAAAAAATATTTTTGTTTATCAATAATTTTAAGAATTAATGTATCTTAATGACAAACATGAATGCTTGGTGTATATTAAACAATCCACCAAAAATATTTTAAAGATTCTAAAAATAAATGAATTCATGGCAAGTATAACTAAAACTTCAAATAATAGTAATTTTAATTCAATTATTAGTACAATTAGAAATATTATTTCTCACATAAAATTTTGTAAAATACTGAATATAATTCAAATCAATCGACATTTTTAGACAATATACTGAATAAGGAATGTATATAATATATTGTATAAGGACAGTATATAATATACTGTACATACAGTATATTAGGCAAAAATAAAATTAATTATGATTATAATGAATTGAATGATTAGTAACTAGAATCAACAGATATGAATTGTACTATGGTAATTTTACTTAAAGGGAATAAAAAAGTTAGCAAATCAGAATTTTCTATGAAAAAAATGTTTTGCTTATATTATGTTTTGTCTTATAATTAGACAAACATGAGGGGAATATTATGTTCATATCAAACCTACTCTCATATTAAGCTGTCATTTGCAGCCATAGTTAGGAAGTGGTTAAAGAGTCGCTTAAATTAGCAAAAATAAGATATTCACAGATTCTGGTCAGTTATGGCAACTAATTCTCTACTCTATATAAAGCCCTTCAAATTATACTCAAACTCTTATAACTATAACTAAATAAAAAAGCTCTCAATGAATATTTATTCCATACATTAATGTTATTCAAATAAGTTTATATAAATAAGTTCTGCGATAAAAATTATTCTTTTACACTAATTTTGTTTAATTAATATTTTCATTTATTTAAATGTAAGTATGAATTGAATTATTGTTATGTTGATCGGTAAACTAATTATTAACATGATACAGAGTTGTACAATGGTGATTCATTTAAACATTTGGACAATCATGTCGTTAGTATTGATATCAATTTGTGACTGTAATCCGGGTCACGGCCATAGGAGTCAGGGAACCAGCGATTCGTATTTCAAAGTATTTGGTTATTTAAAATTAGAGAGACACCTGTCCATGAGATTATGTGGCAAGCCGTTAGCCGAGGCCCTGACAGTGGCCTGTCCTAATAACACCTTCAATAATAAGAGATCCAATAAAATGGTCGACTTTTCCGACTATAGTCTCCCGGAGGGTATGTATCATATGAGTGATACTATGAATAATTGGTGTTTTAACGTACGGTCTGTTTGGACACACATACAGAGCCCACACCCGATGTGTTAGAATTGACTAAATCTATGCTCCAAGAGATGGTCACCGAAAATCCCTATCGTTTCCATCGAAACATACGTACAGTTCATGAGGACTGCTGCCAGAAATCGTGTACTTTTGCTCAGATTGAAGAGTATTGTAACTCCACGTCCACTCATACCCGACCCAATAATAATGACTAAGACCCTGATCAATTGAGAATAACATAAAATATAATTATTGTTATATATTTTTAAGTTTCTTTTTATTAATTTTTTAAATATTAACTGTTATTCTGATTGACACGAATAAATGATTAACATGAATAATAATTAATGAACAGGATATTTGAACAAAAAAATAATACTGCATACAAAATGTTTAATTTGTATGATTGGATATTAATTTGAAAATATAAAGTAATTGACAAAATATGTAAGAATTCCTTATAAATAAAATAATAACATGTTAAAATCAAATAAATATTCTGACTACCAATAATTATCTAAAGTTTTATGTTGTATTCAATCGTGTTGCAAAGTTGATCCTGGTGATATTGAAACCAAGTTATCCACACAAATATTTGCATCTTAATTAATTTATGAACAAAATTAAGTATCAGTTCACAGAATATTCTGTGATTTTAAACATTATATTCATTTATGGTATTAGTTTGACGTCATGTATGAATGCATAGAAAACATGTGCTTTTGGTTTGTTTTGACGGCAAACGAGACATCAATTGCTTTGAACTTCAAAACTAAACATTCATTCAATTGTCACACCATTTGGTCCATCATTTCAGATACAAAGCAATCACTGAATTGAGAGACAATTTGCCACAAAATATGTTTGCTTTGACTGAAGGCTTGAGAGGCATTG